TCGATTGAAGCCATGTCTTCAATGGGTTGTGCCTTGTACTTGCAGGAGATCAGGGCGCTTAGCTCCGCACTCCACCAGCCCATCGAAGGTGCTTCTGCAGGAAAGGCAAAATATTTATTCACAGTTCGATAAATAAAACTCCATGTGCCATGGCGAATGCAAAGGCAAGCAGCCAAGTCATGGATCTAATGGCCTGGTATCCATCCATCCATCCAACCACCCTTCCCATCCATCTGTTGGCTGAACCATCCAACAAGCGGTAGTTTTAAATAAGAAATGAATACGACGCCTTTGTTCGGGCGCGGCGACTTGGACTTAACTTCAAGTTGCAGTCAGAATGGGATTGGGATTGGGATCCGGATTGGGATTGGGAACAGACGGAGCTGCAGTGGCAGTTTGAATTTGAGTTTTAATATGGGCTATACACAGCAGTCGGTATTTGCTTAGCTTATGCCCGCTCCCGCCCGTAAGCCCCGGGCATTTAACACTTTGTATTTACTACCGCAGCTAAAGCAATTGAAATGCTCGTTGTCGGAGCAATGGAAAAGGCAGAACGACTTAAGCACATCTACCCTGGAAAGAAATGGTGCACTCAGGAAAACTGTCGATATGAAACTGATAAATATTAGGCCATGTTTCCTATTTAAAGATCATTAGGAACTTCAAGAGATCACTGTAGCCTTCTAATAAAAAATTGTTGGGAATAAGATTCAATACCAATAATAAAATAAGTAATAAAAAAAATTAGGAAATAATAACAAAAAACATAAATAGATTTTGTTATTATTATGAATTTAAATTTGGAAGGATACTTTCCATATTATTCATATTAATAATCTAATCCTAAATCTACCGTAATCTAAGAGGTTCTTAAATTCCCAATAAAATATAATACAGACCCATAGTTTTCCACAGTGTAGATTTATGAAGGGGAACGGGATCTTCTTCGGCTTACAACAATAATGTTGCAGCTACGTTGATTGGGCTGCATCAGAGCGTCGCAAGCGGCATTAGGAAGTGCGGCCACGTCTGGATCTGGATGTGGATGTGGATCTGTAACGCAGGCCAAAGAAATTGTTATGGTCCGTCTATGGTCTATTTATCTATCAATATCAACGTCTGTATTTGTGAGTGTGTGGTTTATGGTTTTTTATCGCTGTTGTGGTGGCTGGAAAACAATATGGAACCCAAGCAGGAGGAGCAAACAAATAGCCGGACGTGATATGCAGCCAAGAAACAAGGAAAAGGAACCGGGAAACGGGCGTTGAGCCAGGGCTAATTGGTAAAACTTCATCGAGCCATCGAACTGTCAATTGTCAAAAGGCAGCAGGTCGAATCAGGCCGCAAACTAAGTTAGTTAAGTTGGGAACTTGGCAAAACATAATTCGCCAGCCCTTTGGGAAAACTGCCACTGGCGAGAACTGAACTTTGTGGGCGTTTGCGGCAACGGGCCTGCAGTTTATACAGAGGCTAGGCCAATAATTTAAGAAGTTCACGCTACACAAAGTTCAAGTGAAGTATGCCAGGTCTGCCTGCCTCGTCCTGAAAGATGGCAAACGGAAATTTACTGCAGGCACGAACAGCCAACGGAGCGGGGAATCCCCGACGGGGGGTTTTATGGAAGGGGTAAATACGGGGGATCCACTCGCACTCCTTTTTCGAAAAGGGGATTATTCCGCGGAGCGAAATATGCACATTTCCACACTTAATAACAAAATATGTTAAACAAAATCATTTGATGTTGGGCGTAATTTTTTCAGGGGTCTGGGTGTTTGTGTGTGTGTTGCCAGAGGGCCAACACAAACACCAGAATGAGCACCCACACACACACACAGACGAAACGAAACGAAACACATGTTTACATGCAAATTACATAAAGCAGCAGTGGCAAACAAACGCAAATTATATGCTGCATACTTTTAGGCCTGCGACTCAGACTTCGTATATCGAGTTACCAAAGTAAATTGTATAGGGACTTTTCCCCTACATCCATTTCCATTTCCGCAGAAAAACGGCGTCCAGACAATGTCGCGTCGCTTCCTGGGTCCTTCCTCAGGTCCCACAAGCCGCCACTTTGCATACATTTAAAGTATTTTCGTTTTACATACCCTTGCAGGGGGTATAATTCCTGAGCTTCCAAGGAAATGTAATGAGCGTTCTCGAGATTCATATGTATTAGGCCAAAAACGAGTGATGTAATTTGAGTTTAAATTAAATTAGTAGTCAATGGCAAGGATTTTAATCGAAAATCTGGAAAATAGCCGAATAAATTCCTGAATGATTATAAGTAATTTTGCAAAACCCTTAATTTATTTTAAAGTTTTATTAACTACATTTTTTTAAATACATTCAAGAGTATTTTGTTGTTCGTTATGCAAAGTTTTCATATTATTATTTCGCTTTACCGCCCTTGGTTGAAAGTCGTTGGCAGAAAAAAAAGCCACAGCGGCGTAACATGTAAACAAACTCATTTAACTGATTTTCAGAAAGGAAAACGTGGCTCCTGGGCATGGCGGTTGGTAATGGGCGGTGAGATTGCCAGGGAGGGGGGATGAAGATTGAGAGTGGGTCTGCAACGACCGCATTATCATCATCATCTCGGCGCTGTTTTTTGCCCGCAACTCTTTTTCAGGAGCAAAAGCACAGCAGCTGCCGTGGCCGCAACCTGAGGCTAGATTTACATGTCACTCGACTTAAGTTGGTCCTGGTTCCACAACCCTGAGCCTGAGCTCCTCCTGGTCCAGGACACCAGGACACCGCACCTCAGATCCCCGGCACTCGTGACCACGGTGACAAGTTAACTTGCTCATTCTATCTGGGACCCAAGGATCCTGCAATCAGGATCCCCACTCCCTTCGCAAAGATTTGCATGTGCAAAGATTTGCAAAGATTATTCTTTGCATAATTTCCAACTCAGCTTTTCTTTCCTTTTGTCTGCGCCTTTTTTACTTAACTTTTTCCAACGTGCATGGCAACAAAAACGCCAAGTGTCAGCAGAAACAGCAAAATAAACTAAATACAATTTCATCCCAGTTTTTTGTGTGCCGCTGGCCAGAAGAAAAAAAATGGACACGGCTGTGACCATTTGTTTCGCTGGAAGGATCCGATTTATCTAGCACATAATTCCGTATGGAAATGTTTAAATTATGCAGATTTTATTGCCTGCTTTTGGGAGACGAAAATGGCGGACGAACTCGGTTAGTTTCGGTTTATAACATTTTAATAATAACTGCCCAGCAAAGCAATAAGAGATTTTTCTCCCCTATGGTCACGCTTCGCTTTGAAATTGGACCAACAAAAGCGCAAAACTTCGCAGGAACGCTTTCATGTGTACAAAATCAAAAGGATAATTGAGACATGTGAACAATATCCCTAAGTGCGAGACACCAAAGCACCAACAACAAGCCCAAACTCAATGAAAGGTCGCACATCAAAGGTGGCCCCCAGACATTTTGCCAGCTTACCCCAGATGAAAAGCAATTAACAAAAGTAAAAGCAAGAGAGCTCTGACTGGGGATGGTTGAGCTGAAAAAAAGAAAATATAAAAGTCGGGAGAAAAGAAAAATATTAAATGCTTGAAAAGGGGACTTTGGAGGGGGCACACACAGACGTGGCCACCTCAAAAAAGTGCCAGGCACTCACAAAACTGCTCAAGAGGAGTGTGCCAGAGGGGGTCTAAATGTGCACTGGAAATAATTTATAGGAATTTAGAAAAAGCCAAACAGCTTAAAATAATTTTCAATATCTTAATAGTTAGACATTTTATATTTTTCAAGAACTTACTTTTGTACAGATATCGCTGCTCTTTCGACTAAGAAAATTGAAAAAAAAATTCTTTTTAATTTTAAAGTACTCAACATTTTCCCGAGTGTGGGAAAAGTGGAAATGGGGGGCCTCCGCACACATGCACGACAAAGCAGAATAATAAATTTCAATTCAGACGACGACATGACGTCTCTGCCTCACGTCGACGTGCATGTTGATAAGAAAGCGTACAACCCTTCCAGCTTCCAGCCCCTAACTTCCCCACCCCATCTGCCCGCAGCCAGGGGCACTCGCTTTAGCCTCGGCTAAGCCTCTCGGCCAGGTCTGCGAAAAAAGCCTGGAAAAACACTGAATGCGAATGGGAAAAAGTCGCGCATAAATGCCAGGTGGGTGAGCAAATACATATAGAGAGTGTGGAGTGCAGAAGGGAAATGCGCAACGCAGCCCAAAGGTGTCAAGCGGAAAATAAAGCATAATAATGGCTGCAGCCCCGCGAACAAAGGTCTGAACAATTGGGAGGTGGAGCTGGGGGTGGTGTTACGGAACCCAGACACACGTCAGTCATTTAGAAGGCGAAGCCGAGATGGTTAGCTGCGTAGGTGACGCATTATCCGTCTGACAATGATATCCTGAAAACTTTACCGTATGTAGGACACATTATAGTGCACGATGAGAAACCCCCAAAATGTGCTAATAATTCATGCAAAAGTCCAGGCATCATCAAAGAAAATACGAAATGAGACACGGCTACCTCTTATATACTTAGCATAAGGCTCAAAAATAAGCCTCCTTCAACCAGAATGAAGAGTATTTCCAGCCATAAATATTTAACGCATCTGAAACGGAGGTTATTTTTATACATCACCGTAATATGATGATAATAAGTTACTAAAATAATATTTCGGTTTCTCTTTTTCAGATTTACTAAGAAGATGCGAAGGCTCTACTCCTGACAGACCTCAAGATCCCCAGTCCAGCAGTTCCAGTTGCGAGTCCTCGGAAAGGACAAAGGCCACTTGATGAGGGACCTGATCTGATTTGCAGGATTGAACCGGGCGAAGAACGATAACCATAACTGCAGTAGAGAGACCAGAGTAATTTGAATTTGTGCTTGCCGCGGAGGGAGCGAGAGCGCTGCAAATTGTGTACATATTTTGTCTCAGTCTGTTTCCGGTCGCCTGCAACAGTGTGTGTGTGTGTGTGCAAGTGTATTTCGTGTAAATAAATGCAATGAAAAAAGAGAAACAGGAATAGCAACATCAGAGGAAACAGGAATAACAAGCGAAATGGCAAAAAGTGCAGTTAAGCGTGGAAATTGCATTAAAAATTGAGCAAAAAATTGCGAAAACAAAAAGTGGCGAAAAGACAAAAAACGGAACAAACAAAGACGCCAAACGAAACGCTGGAGTTAACGAGCGCTAAAAGGCAAAAAATACAACAACAATAATAGAAAAGAAAATCAAGCGAAAGCCGCCAAACAGACAGACAGTCGGACAAACAGACAAACAGACAGAAAAAAGAGTAAAGTTTTGATTGAAATTTTCACTGCGCTTTCATCCTTTCTGGATTGTGTAAATTTCTGATTAAGGAACCAGACACCATCAACAAAAGACGCGGCGCGAAACGTAAAATAATATCGCACCCGAAAAAAAAAAATTCCGCACAACTCAATTCAATCTATCGAAACTTGGAACCAAATATCAAATATCGGCCAACTTTTCCGTAATCGAGCAACAAAGCACTTTGCAGTTCGTGTTTCGTTTCTGTCATGACAGTTCGGGCCTACATTTTGCTATATTTTTTATTGTTTATGCACAGCAAGATCGCCGTTTGCGGTTGCCGTCGTTGCCCTGGCCATAAACATCATAACATCTGACTGATACACAAAATTGAGCCGTGAACACTGAAATTCGAGTGCGAGTGCGAGTGAGTCGTGCAGCAAAAGTCAAAGTCAGCAGGCAGCAGTTGGTATCGGAACCCCACCTAACGTCCACACAAAACACCCCGAGAACTCGGGTCGTTGACAAAGTAACGCATTTAGTGATAAGAGCCAAACGACTTTGGCAAAATGAGCAGCCAAAACAGGAGCAGCAGGAGCGAAAGGAGCCAACTATTGCTCCTTATCGGCATCGCAGTCGCATCATGTTTGCCGGGTAAGTGTCAACAGCAGCAGTCCCTGTCCCTGTCCTCTGTCTCCTGTTTCCTGTTAGCATCTTAGCATCTTAGCATCCTAGCAGGACTTATCAGCCAGCCCCGGAATTAATGCAAATATTTAACGTGCTTTTTTATGGATTTGTCGTCGTCATGCGGCTCAGTTCAGTTCAGTTGCCACCCCCCTCCCCCTGAACGACTGCGAACAGCCCACATCCTGCGAGGTCCTGTCATAATAACGAGCTCTAGAGCTCCAGAGCTCCACAGCCGCTCTCCACTTGACATGACTTGTAAATGGCTTTCGATTAAGTTGTCACATTAGCATTAATCTTGAGCTTCGAGCAGCAGCCATCTTCGAGCTCATTGAAGTTCAATCAAGTTGTCTGGCAGTTTTTTCCCATCCCTCACTCTTGAGAAGTAGAAACGTGCTAATGAGCCGTGAGCTGATGAGTTGCCAAGGAGTTGTCCTAAGGTGATCTAGGTCAGCGGGAGATCTGTGTATAAGGGCACTCGCTCAGCATGTAATTGAAATATAATTACTCGCCTGAAAGCCGCTTAAATCGCTTCAGCCTTTAAACTCATATATATTCATTAATTCATTAACAATTCAAGCATTTTACATCATCGCCGGTGAATTTTAAATGCCAGCCAACAGCAACAGCAGGAATCGTTTTAATAAATATTACTGAATATGAATATGCATTCGCCATTATCCTGAACGTTGTTGCCTCACAAGCGTAATCCGATAATCGTATGGGATCGGAAAACGGGGCTTAAGGCAATTACTGAAACCAATTGGTTTTAAATACAAGAGGCCATTCCATCGTTATTATATTCCTTCAATGTTGTTTGTGTTTCCTAATCCGACTACCGAATTAAATGCCAAGTTCACTTGGCACACACCCATAAAAACATTTCGGGGACTGCCAAACAATGAGGCAACGTAAATGATAGTTTAGTTAGTTTGGTTTGTTTTTCGGGGGCATTTCTTTTCTCTCTATTTGCCCATCACAAATCAGCAGATGGGACCGGCGTTTGTCATCTGATTTTGGGTCTCACGGTTCGAAGACCCTTTCATTTCATTCGGCTTTGTTTCAGTTCGCCTCGTTTGATTCGCAATATTTTCATTTTCATTTACAGGGGCTCTATTTGTGTTTTGTCTTTGCTCTCTATTTGCTCTCCATTTGTATTGTTTTGCTAATTCGAACTATTTGAAATGTTTTTGGTTCGGGAAGCACTCCCGCAGTATTTGTTGTTTATGTTTACCCCATGAGCATTTCTAATATTGCTGTTTGTTTCTGTGTTTGCCTTGGCTCCTCTACTCGCAATTCGGCACCGAAAATAGTTAATGCGAAATTAATTTCCAAATTGAACCAGAGCTATAAATAAAACATTCGCTTCGATTGGAACGAGCTTTTCCTTTCATGTTCGCCGCTTTTATGGCAGCGACAAAAATTGGTCTCAATAAAAATTTACGTTTCATAAAATTTATTATGTATGCAATACAATGGGGATGCGGGATGTGGATGCATGGGGAGGGGGGTCAAATCAAAGCAGGAATGACCAAAAAACAACAAGGAAATGAACGACTTTATATGCAGGATAATGGCCAGGACATCATGGTGGCGGGAGTTTCCCACGTATCTCTGTTTCCGTTTCTGTGTTTGTGGCTCTCAAGCAGGCGGAAATTTATTACGTCTCTGAAATTGAGTGTGTGTGTGTGTGAGGACAATCCTTGCCCCCCCCATTCTGCCACTTGAACTTCGGACAACTATTCGGTTTTATTCGAAATCATTGACCAAATTCTTAAGTAATCAAACTGAAAGTTTTCCTCTATCTCAACTGTGGCCGATAAGAGCTTTCCACTCGCCCAGATAAATACAAATCATGCAAACTGGCCAAAAAACCAGCAGGAGTAAAAAAGTTCAACATGACTTTTCAATTTTGGAATGTGTTTAATGGGCTCCGGAGTACAAGGAGCATTCGCCATGTGTGTGCGAGGGAGTGCAAACAGCTGACTGTTAATGGAAATTGAAGCCATATCACCCGTACCCCATAAAATCCCGAAAGTTTAGATCGAAAAAAGTTAAGAGCCAAGGAAAGTTCGGTTTTAATGGCACACTAAAATAATGAAAGGCAAGACTTAGTCTAACCCGTTACAGGTAGCAAGTTCGGAATAAGTTTTATCGATATTGTGTTGAAATAGGAATATTAGTTGTTCTTTTCTTAAAAATAAATAGTTATATGAAGGGTAATAAATAACAACTTATGTAATTACCCAAGATTCCATTTTTAATAAGAAGCAACTCCAAAAATCGTTGTCACGTGTGTGTAAAAGAAAACGCGCGCGGAAAATATGGGAAAAATTGTCGCCGGCGGTTGCCAAGGAAGCGAGCACGTAGTTAAAATATTGCGCTGATGTGAATATACCTATATCCCTGCGAGGTGGGTGGGGCTTTAGGTGGCTGTAAGCCAAATCCAAGGACGCTTGTATGCGACGCCTGATTGCAAACAGCTTCCTGTTGCGGCACGCGCCTAATTAAATTAGAGGACGCAACATTTCGAGCTCAATTGCGGATGCAGATGAGAATGGGGAATAGCATTGAATGGTATCCAGGCATCAGGACACCGAGGACAACAAGGACAACAGCAAACCGGCAGCTTAATCCGCAAACAAAGCAAGTGTAAAGAGGGATCCCAGCGGGAGTGGGATATTGGGAATGGGATTGGGTTTTGGCATGTGTCCTGTCATCGATTTCCCAGCTCTCTGCTCCTCAAGGACCAAAGCATATTTTCGCCTAGCAAAATTATGCACAAATTTTTCAACCGTAGCTGTGCTTCTGGGTGCGTGTGTGTGGGTGAGTGAGTATGCGTGTTGGCCAACAAAGTCGGGCAAATATGTGCATACACATCCACAGGAGGTGCGGGTAGTAGTGAGACCCCTCCCCGGGCTGTTGGTGCTTTTCTAATGCAAAATAAGCCAAAAAACAAAGCAAAGGCCAAAGGAAGCATCCATCCAGCTGCCAGTCATGGTCTCATCCAACTCATATTCCATCTCCACTCGGAAATTTCCTATACCACTTTGCACAGATGGCATTACATTGTCATTTCAAAATCGTAATTTTAAAATATATATTTTTTAGCAATTAACATAAATCGATGTATTATAAAAATAAATGGTTAAAAGTACAGAAAATGTCAATACCATAATAATATTTTTCTTTTCACTTTAGTTTATTTCCTAGAAATATTTCACTAACATAAAATAATCATTTATGCCATATAATCCCAAATTAAAAATCGAAAATCGGTACCATTTTTCTCCGTGTCCCCATTGCATCTCAAATTTTACTGTGCTCTGCTAAATTTCGCACAGATTAAGGATTTTTCCAGCTGCAGTTGAAGTCGAATCGACTGGTTTGAGTTGTTATGTGTTTTTTTTTCGCTTTACTTGTTTCATGGCCAAGGGGTTGCAGGCGCCTGAGGGGTAAAACCCAATGGCAAGGGAGCTGGGGGTCATGGTCGTGTTCCCCACTTCCCCCGGACTGGAAGTCTTTTGGCAGCAAACAACATTTATTATGCATGCATTTTAAATTGTAAATTTCACTACCTTGCATTCAGCAAACCTCTGGCCAACCGGCTGGGCTGCCAAAATGGATTTGGTGGCAGCCACAGCTACTGTTCCGGCTTTTCGGCTCCTCGTTCCGGCTAAGATGCTGTCAGCTTTGGACCAGGCTAAGACCCACTGATGCGCTTGATGAGCTTTTGGCCATATTGTTTGAATTTTTACCAACTCAGAGGCTTAGACCGCTTCCCTTGGGAATCCTTTGTTGGCATTTGGCTAGAATAATACGGACAAAATCAATTGTGCAAGCCAGTTAGCAAGCTGAAATAAATCAAAAGTTTACACCGGTTAATCGACTGAACTTGTAAATATTTTCCCATTAGACGAGCAACTTTTGCCTGGTAATGAGTTGATCATTTTCATGCACTGAACCGAGTGCTTGAGTTAATTTGATTAAATTAGTTGAACCATCGGCATTCCGACAACAAATTGTGGCCATTTAAAGTGGCCCTAAAACTTCAAACTGCTTAGAAAGTATTATGTGGAGACGAGGAGCCAACCAAATTGAATATCTCCTTTCAAAATTGCCATGACAACTGAGTGGAGGGTGGGTAGTGGGGAAATACGAGTCCAGAGCCACCGAAAAGTTTGTGGCGCCTGAAAACTTTTGTCTGTGTGTGAGGCATTGGATTTTGGGGCATAGATCAAAAACGCAAAAAGGGGTTAGGTTAGGGGCTCAAACCGAAGCTCAAGCCAGGGTCTGATGGCGATGATGGAGATGACGATAATGGGCATTCAGGCAAATAGGCAAATCCAAGGGACTGAGGACAGGTTGCCATTGTTGGCAAGTGGCAACAAAGTCAGGCAAACAAAATCCGGTCAGAGGAGATATATCTCTTTCTATGGACTCCGGACTCTAAACTCTAGAAACCTCCCTTAACACACATGCCAAAGCCTTTTGGGTCAAAAACTTTTCAAATACCTAATCCCCATGCCAGTGGTAAGAATGGGTGGGCTGAAACGGAGGCTTAGGTCTCCGTTTCAACCTGATTATAAATAGAAAATTGTCCGCTTTCTTGGGGGTCAAGCGTGTGTGTGTGTGTGTGTGTGTGCCGGGGAGTCCTGAACGGTTTCGCCCATAAGTCTGTCGTCTAAGCTGATTCTCAGCTCTATTAATAGCTGATTGGCTCCGGCCAGCAGCACCTGGCAGTCATATTGATTCGGTTATGACAGCGGGCGTATGCCACCCGCCCAAGGACTAAGTGGAAAACCCTGTTGTTGCCTTATGTTTCCACCGGAAGAGCTTAAAGAGTTCTTTTTTTACGACCGGGCTGCCTTTCACCTTTCGGTGTTTTGGCAAAAACTTTTCGGCCATTCCCTAAATGAGCCAGCTCGCAGGCGTCTTTCGACCACGACAGAGGAAATCTATTTGGGGGA